AACCTGATGTTCATTCATCATATCGTGATGTCCATTCACCATATCGTGATGTCCATTCACCATATCGTGTTGTGCATTCACCATATCGTGATGTTCATTCACCATATCGTGAAGTCCATTCACCATATCGCGCTTTTGAAACCTGCAGTTCGTACAAAAATATCACACACCACAGTTTCAATCATTCCAGGCCGATTGATTCTCAGTGCCTTAACAGCTTGAAACACATCCACCATCTGTTCCACTTTAATTCGTTCAAGTACGGCAACAACTGCACAGAACACACCACTACGACCGATGCCATTCCTGAGAAATGAAATACATACACAGTAATACATTGAATGTTGCTGTTTATAGAAAATATAAACACGGGTTGCAAAATTAGAGATGTTTTTTTTGGTAGATCATTGTGTAACTCTCAGACGTGAACCATCAATTTCGCTGCATACCTGCAATGCACAGTTATCGGTCCATCCCCAGACTGTTGATATTTTTCAATCATTGTCACTAATCGCATCATCACAGTCTTAGAACGAGGAACGTCTTCTGGGGACCAATCTGTTATTTGATATTGGGTAATAAGTCGATGGGACTCGTTATTCTGCAACTCAATTACAATAATAAATTAAAAAGCGTTGGCAACGAGTATGACGACGACTTTTACCACTGCGATCACTTCGACTACTACTACCATTATTACTACAACGAACACAAGTACAACAAGTACGACGATAACACAAATAACAACATTTTGACATAGTTCAATATTCTAGTTGTGTCAACGTAAAATTGCGGACAAACAACCGACGAAATACCAAATAATAATGATCTTACCATTTTCCTCTTGTTAATTAGTTCAAACTTCCGTTCAATGATCTCATCGTACAGTTGTATTGATATGAGTTTAACAGTAAATGGGCCGTGTTCCACTGCCTTACCATCAGACCAATATTTCCCAGTTACCTTGAATTATACAAGTTTACTTTCATTTGATACAGTACAACAAATACTAAACGATTTATGTGTGTTTCTTTTAATATCCAACATATCGGACTTGTGGTATGTAAGGTATTTA